CGAAGGTCGATGAAATTACATCGATGTCCACAGCCCAGAAGTCTAGAAGAGAGAGCCGTATGGGCCATGCCATAATTAAAAACTCTTACAACAGTACAATATTCTTTGAACAAAACTTACTATTGGGCCAAGCTAACGTGAGAATGAGACTTTATTATAAGGCAACAAACCTGCTTGCACAACTTCATCTGCAAGGTGCAAAATGCATGTACATGTACATGGACAAGTACCCTCTGGCACAAGGACAATTCTGTCTGCTGCAAAACTTTAGTATGAGACATTGACTGTGTCTTATTTAAACTACATGTAAATAAGAATGTTCACATTGTAAATAATAGAGGCAAAACTTAAAGAGTTAATCTTGGTAAAGTTTCCAAACCACTGAACCAGTCCAAACTATGATGACTTCATAAATTGCATAATAACTAAGATAATTGTACTGTTGCAACTTCTCAGCTCAATCAGTAATATAACATCACTGTATTTAGATACAGTGTCTTATCAAAATCCCGAAGACAATAACCAGAATATTTTGTTGGAGAATTCATGGCATCAACAGACTTTACTGTACCAAACACACTTTACATGTATCTGAATCGAACAAAGGAAAAGTCAATTTTAACTATTCACATGAAAGGTTATGCTGAGGGAAAAGTTACTTTTATGGGAAAGCTTACCTGGAATAGAGAGCCAATAGGAATCAGACATGAATGAAGTTGATGATGCTTCAGAACCTGTTGAGGAGGTTGACGTAGAAACCTCGGATGAAGACAGTTCAGAATTGGAAGTCAATGCCACCTACCAAGATTGGCTGGCTGAAGCCAGAGAAACAAATACGGAGATGTGGGATGAAGGCATGGATGAAGATCAAGCCAGGCAGAAGGCAAACAGGAAGACCCTCTGGCCAGTCAAACAAGACTTTTTTGACAACCATAAGGAGTTTCTGTCAAGTACCTACAGTTGAAGGATAATGAATCTCATCAGGACATTGTGGTGATCTCGAAGGAAAACTTGATAAAGGCATGAAAGTAAACAAAGCCTTGAATAGGGTTATGCCTAAACATGCTGTTAAATTTGACGTACTGTTTGAGCTCAATGACGAAGAGGAAAGTAACTACAAGATAGTAATAATTACAGACAAATGGTTCCACAAAGAAATGAGTACATGTAGTGCCTCTGATATAAAATATAATAAATCACTAGTTCAAAGGATTAAGAAATTCAGCCAAGGCTAACCGGGTCTTCTCTCTGTATTAATCAGATCTCGGTAACCATAGTAAGCCTAACGTAAGACCGTTAGCATGTGCCCGCCCTCTCTCGTTTAGTGTCCAAGGATTAAGTCAGACCTACGCTCACTCCCAAGTACACACTAGTCACCACACAGTGTCCCATACAGCCCTCCAAAAGATTATCCCTCGTTACATGTACCTGGCACCACATACTGTCCATTATTTGTCCAAAGGATTATCCATATAATTGGTGGCATGTACGGCCCTTTGTCTACGCTTTATTGTTTCCTGCCCCTTGATTACTTCAGGGCATCCCTGTAGGCCAGTCGGTATTTTTCCATGACATCATGCACTATACGACTCATCGTCTCATGGCCATCATTTAATAAGAAAGGTCAAACTGTACCAACATATTTACCCCATGATATGCCTTATTCATATTTATCCATACACATTAATATAACGGGTCAATCAATCTCATCCCTTATTCCTATGCCCACACGAGGTCAAACCGTAGCATAATTTTTTTACCCTACCCTCATTCCTATTCCTATTTTATGATTTCTATACATATTTATGCGACCATTTCCAAAGGTTAAACTGTCCTATATTTAAAGGTTACAGTGTCCCAGGCTGACCCCTCCCCACAACTCTTGTGATTCAGGGCAAGCTTTTCCATAGCGAACACCATCTCTGGAATGGACTGGCTATCCATTGAGAACAGTGTGTTGTTGAAAGGTGTCTCTTATGTAACTAAGCAGTTGTTTGCCCCGAATCATGAGGTATAACAACAATGTTTTTAGTATGGAGAATGCAAATTGTTATGTTCACGTGAATTTAAAGAACTTAGTGTACCAGATTTTATTCCAGTTTCATTCACAAAAGGCTTATTGTGATGATGTTAGATGCCAGTAGGCTCGAAGAACATCTTTTCCTGTGTCTTGCATGTTTGTATATTCTTTCAACTTGTAACTAACATTGTGAGGATGTTTTGTGTTGAACTTGGAAGTGTAAGATTGTCTGCAAGTGTCTGTTGTACATGTATTTGACCTTTTAAGCGCTATTTACCTTCATTTTGGCCAATTTCATGCTACATGTACTGCCTAAGGTGGCTCAATACCTTAGGTGAAAGAGTAGAAGCTGTCAATTTGAAAATATAAATAAGGAAATGAAAAATGGAACCAAGAATAGCAAAGTAGAAAATTCCTTTCCCAGATAATTGACAAGTGACAAAAGCTGCACAGTCAGACATGTGACATACCTTTAGATTTAAATAAGCAAATCATACAAGAGTTTGTTGATTTCCATGCACTTAATTCAGGGAATTGTTCAAAGTCTGATCTGGAACTGGGAAAGTGACTGTAATGTGAATGTAATCACAGTTTTAGGAAACTCTTCAGAGCACTCATTTAGAGTGACCACCTAATCTTTTGAGCATTATTTGAGCCTTTTTGAGCAGGCATTTTTGTAAAATGTGTCCAGTTTGCTAATTTAACCTTGCTTCATAATGTATTGAAACTCTGCAACTTCTCAGCTGTGTATTATTGGAAGTCAAAACCATATTTCATTTCAGATTAATTTTTTTTTCTTACAGAAGTGCCAGAATGCCCTTCATGAAGTCCTGGCAAGGAAAGTATGTACCTGAATAATGTTTCTCTTTTTCATGCTTCTTTTTAACAGACTAACATCAATGTTCGTAACACTAAGTGTAATTTTTTGTGTGTTATCATTTTCTGTTTGTGAAAGTAGCTCCTATGTGTACATGCATCTCTTTTACAAACATGTAGATGGTGGGTTTCCTGTTAAAGGGTTCCAGAAATAGAAAACATTTAGTTCACATGAAGTATTTCAAAATAACAATAAATACGTAAACATTTCGAAAACGTCATAAATTTAATGTTTACCCCATTAATTATGATTGCACGCTTGCAATAGACCACGTTGTGTTTGATGTAGCTTGGCCAACAGGGCAAACGCTGTTTCAGTTCAGGAAATACATGGTAGGACTGTGTCTTTTAATTTCTACCTTGAACTGAGACAGTTCAGGTTAATGCCTGTGGGCCAAACTACAGTCATTTGCAAAAGTTTAAGACCACCTTGAATTTTATTGGTATTTCTGTCATTGGGCCTGCATTATACGGTCTCACTGAATGATTACTTAACATTAGGCTGTTAACAGGTCAAATCATGGAAATGTAGTCAAAAATGTTAAACCAAGGTTCCAAGGTTACACATTAAAAATAAACATAAGTTGCCATGATTGATTGGTTTAAGTTTTGTTATCCTTCAGGTTAATGCATTTTCTATGGGTGGTCATAAACCTTTGCAAATGACTGTACATGAAACACAATACAGTATATTGCATGCGATACTGCATGTACTGTGCACTATGTACATATACAGTGTACATGCATCGTTCTGGTGATTACGTCATCCAATCAGCCTCAGAGCACGAATGGCCAAAAGGAGATTTTTTGTGGGCAGGGAAACGCAGGAACTTTTTATTCATTTGGGGGTCACAATTAATGGGGTAAACATTAAATTTATGATGTTTGTGAAATGGTTATGTATTTATTGTCATTTTGAAATACTTCATGTGAACCCTACACAGTCAATAGAAACGTTATCTTTAATACCATAAAGTAAAGTTGTATTTATTTTGTTACAATACACACAATCACAGTGGCGTCTTTGCATGGGAGTAGTGCACACAGCAACAATGACATTCAGGTTTTGTCTCAGCTGCTGTCTCTGTCTCCATTAAGGGGGGTATTAGTGCATATCCGTTGCACTGAACTCATAAAAGGGGTGCTTTTTCCTCTGCAGTGTCGGCCCATTGTCATCTGTGACAAGACAGACATAGAGATGCAGAGAGTGTCATCCCGATCCATCGGCATCCCTGGTTGCGTGGACTGCCTACAAGGGATCCTGAGTGTAATCCCCTTACAACTACTGGCATTCCACATTGCTGTTTTGCGTGGCTTTGATGTAAGCATAAACTAAGTGTTACCTTTTGAATATGATTTGGTACTTTTATCTATGTAAATTGCTCATTTTTTTGGTACTTTCCACTTTAACACTATACTGCACACTCGATCAAAGTTCTGTCCCCTCTGAGAACATTGACTTCTAATGTTATGCGTTCCTCAATGTCATCCACGTCCCGAGGTGGAGTAATGTACGCTTTGACCTAAGATGACCCCACAAGAAAAATTCAAGAGGGGTTAAGTCCGATGACCTGGGGGGCCATCCCATATCACGGTTTAGGGCAATTATTTGTTCTCCGAACAGTTCTGTGAGGCGGTCTGTTACAGTTCTCTGTCTGTGGGCCAGGGCGCCATCCTGCTCACCAGGCTCTCTGAAATTGGCCGTTTCTGTTGCAACGATAATGTGGCAGTTGGTCAAGGACAGGAACAGTGTCCTCGTTCAGCATCTGCAAATAATCCTCACTTTCCATGCTATGGTGGAAGAAAAAAGGGCCAATGATTGAGCCATTGCCTCCCAAAACCTATCCACACAGTCAGCTTGTACCTTGTATAACGTTGATAGTGAAAATCAAGGGGAGCATGTTCACGAGGGCAGTACTCTCAGATATTGTGTTTACTGCTGCATTAAGGGTAAAGCCTGATTCACCCGCAATGATAAGATTGTCCAAGAATCGTGAGGGTTAGGCAAGGAGCCATCCGCAGAAGCACAGTCATCGCTGTTGATCCCTAGGTAGAAGTTTGTGTCACCTAACCATCTGATAGATATGAAAGTGAAGGTCCAAACGAGTTATTCTGTTGAAAGTGGATAATGGTAGCCCAAGACTATTGCTTTGGCTGCTGATTGTCTGAACTCTCCCTTCTCCCGCCTGTTGGTGCTCAACAAGACGATTTCAGACAGCTTTGATATTCGCAAGAGATCTGCCAGTTCTTCGATGTCCAGATTTTCCCTTATGCAGATTATGACTTGTTCCCGTTGTTCTGTACGTCTGTACGTCTTTGGAAACTGTTGTCTTCGGGCCTCGCACGTTTGGGAATTCCTGACGGAACCTCTGGAGGACTTCCCCAACACTGTTGATATGATGGTATTCTGTTACCATGGAAGATCACTGTTTGGGGGGGGGAATGGCCTAATGATCTTTGGGAGTTTGCTTCCAATACAGAAGTGAGGGAACAGTGCACCCAGGGCCCACAAATTTATCCCATTTGCTGGGAATTCATAATGATGTAACAACTGAAATGTGTCAATGGATGTGCTGAGCTCAAGAAAGTGCAAACACATGGTGTTACACCATTCTGGGGACATCCATTCAAAGGGTTAAAGCAATTTTCCTGACAATTTTTGAGGAAACTTGAGGGCATACCTAACATTGCTTCTCATAGTCTCAGATCCTATTTTCTTCCCAGCACTTTTCCTTACAAAGCAGATGTATCGCAATTTACCTACATATAAGTAGCCTGTGCTCACTCATGCGTGACATGTTAGAGTATGTGCAGTTGCACAAAAGGGACCATTTTCTATCAACCTATGGAAAAGGATTTCAAAAAATTATAAAATATACATTTTGGGGAAATTTTTCAAAGTGGGACTTTTTCGGATACACCCTGTAGAGAGTTGTGTAGGGGGTTAGAAGCCCAGAGTCAGCAAACTTTTACTTCGACACAAATATGAGAGGGTGCCACCGTTCACTGTCCAGTAGAGAGATTAATCAAATTTCAAAATTTCTTAACAATAACATTTGAGGAAAAGCTAAAATCTTAACAATAACTATAGACAAATAATTCATAACCACTCCTCACAACCAGAAATTTTAAAGCCACTTCCTTGTCTTGCAATTCATCCACTACCTCTTGGGTACTAGGTTGAAATTTTTGCAGTTGTCCATAAACATGCAGTTACCCTGATAGTTTTGCATGTAACTGCAGTTCATGAGACAGTTTACTCAGTTAAGCAGAGTGTGCCTGTCTTCAATAAAAGGATGCTTTCTTACTTCTCGATGATATGGTGCTTCAGAAAAATTTGCTTGTGCATAGCTCTCAGTTATTTATGCGATCAGTTGGATGTGATGATGTGCTGTGTTTTTTCTTTCATTTTTAAAAATTCCAATCCCCCAAACAGGAACCTGTTATTAAATCCTCTCTTTGCCTTCATTTTTCTCTCATCTACAGGTTGACTGCCCACGTAATTTGGCGAAGTCTGTCACTGTGGAATGAAATTTCTCATTGGTGCAGTTTCCAAGGGATTCTGTACAGTTTGTTTTCGTGACATCAGATTTCCCTTTTGCCCTATTCGGTTTTTGGTTTGTTTTTGTTTTAGCAAGTATTTAAAGTATTTGTTACATGACAGTAATTCAGCTTTCATGTTTCTGTTTGCATGCACTTACATTCCACAAGGCATGAGTAGTATCAGTCAAAAAGGCATTCCCAGTCCCAGACGGATGCAGGATTAGATACAGTTGTATTTGACAATGCCAAGTAGGCAGTGCGTCCCACAGTTCTGTGGCTCACAGGTATGTAAAGCAGGGGGCTGGGCCTCACAGGACAGTGGGACTGTGCTATCTTGCTGTTCCTTCAGTCTAATTCTTATCATTTTCTTATGATTTGGAGAGAGCAGTGGCCATGCATTTGATAAACAGACTTAATATTTTAGCCTGGTTCTGCAAGGAACATTTTAAGATTCTTTATCAATTCATTTTAAATCTAAATGTTTTATGTGGACATGTGAAACCTAAGGTGTATGTGTTCAGTTGTTATTTACCAATTGTACATTTATGCCATCAATGGTTATGGATTGCTATTAGATGTATGGAACATATATTCCATCTGCGAACTACATTTACACAACTTCATGCATGTATTTAATATTAATAACTCATAAACCAAACAGCATACTCCAGGTCAGTTCTGTGGGTGCTGTTATGTACTTGTTTCTGTCATATACATGGTGTCACCGATTTTGTTAGTGAGCTCAGCATTGTCTAGTTTTAAAAGTTTTTAGTGTCTTAGTGAATATTGAAAGAGTATTGACATTAAGTGTTGCAGACGTCCATGTTTTGAAAGGAACATATGTATACAAAAAACAGTACTGTAGTCGAGACCATGTCAAAACCAAAACAAAACCAACACAAAACATTTCATTCATTTTAATTTAATCATTTAAACAATTAACTTCAATTAATTTATTCATTATCCCAGCATGAAACTATTTTTCTCGCTTTGTACCAAATTAAACATACAATGGATCAAAACAGAAATTAAAAGTAAAGATATAAATGTAAAAAGGATAAAACATCCATTAGAAGTAAAAATTAGTAGAAATATTACACCAGATATCGATAAACCTCCTAAATGTCACAAAATAGGCCACATCGAGGAATACCTGGGGACATTGGAGAGAGAACGAGGCCAGGCAGAAATAAGATGGGGAGTTAACAGTTTAAGAGGAGGACACACACGCACACACAAAGTACAAGAATATAAGGAAATGAAATGTACATAACAAGGGAAGGAAACAGAGGAAGTTATAGGATTGAAACAAGGCATGGAAATGAGCAAAGAGAAACAACAAGAAGAGAGAGGGATACACAGTAGATGAATGGCAATGGGCAACAAATAAAATGATGATAAATAAATAAATAAATAATAAACTAAAAGACGCGTAAATGAGAGCAGAGGGGGAGGCAGGGGAAAACATTAATGGAAGGCATTTCAAACAAAAATACCTCGAGTATCGCCACACCAAAAATAGCAAAAAGGCAAGTGATATGACGAAACTGTGGTTAAAACAAGAATTTGCATTAGGTACCGCTGACAGACGATAAAGATTTGTATTGGATTAGGGGTGACGTTATTTGCCAGACATACTATAAACAAAAATATGTGAAGTGGGTGAGTATTATTATTGATCTCAAATATTGGACAGTAACACCAATTATTATTTCTGGCAGATTTAATGTTTCTATTGTTTTGTCAACATTATCTACCGGTAGACCATTTACCCACGTAATACAGGACAACATAACAGACACTTTGATAAACTATCCAAAGAACTACAAAAATGCATTCCATTGTCATTCATCATCCTGTTACTTCAGATTGGGCTTTTGACTTGTCATGTGACTGGTCTTGTGTCATGCTGTCATGGTCTCAATTGCAGTACAATGCATTTTATTTTTGCATCCATACATTTCATCTCTCCTCAGACATTGCACCAGATTATGAATGACCATCTTTGCTTAAAGTAGCCTGCTAGTATAGTCCAGGGTTGAATGATACAGTAGGCACTGAAACATTGGGGGGCTCAAGAAAAACTTGGGAGCCCCCTAAAAATACCAGAGTGTGCTTTGAAACTCAAACTCACAGAATTGTTTTAATTTGAGAGTCTGTATCTGCATTTTTATTGTTTGAAACGCTTCCAACAAGCTAGCCCAGTGTAACGTGTAACATCAACATAAATTACATAAGTTCCTGTGCTTCGAAAATCAGTGGTGGTGACGCTCACTGAATATGAATCTGTGGTTGAACCTGACTTCAGAGGTCAGCAATACATAATCAGTTTGTTGGAGCTGTTGGTAGTAAGTTTACAGTATACGAACTTTGAAAGTTTTTTTTTCTGTTATATGTTTGGTTGATCTTTCTTTTATTGTTTAAACGCAGAGAATGAAGCATTTAGGTTTGTCCATTGTGGTCACGTCAGTTAGGAAAGACACGGGGCTATATTTAAAAGCACATTTACAACTCATTGGGCATATGCATTCAGTTTGGTATTGCTGTTCCTGAGATTAAGAACGAAGTACATGCATGTATTATTATTTCTGACATCCTAGCTTGGGTTGGTTTTTCCCTCTTCCAAAGAGTATGTCCATTGCTGCTTTTGTGAGCTGGTTTCTTTGGCCATGGAGGAAAGATACAAAGAGTTTGAATTGGCCGGTCTACAACATTTGGCCAATTACCGCTTTCTGGCATGCCCGAAATGTCCATATCCAGAGCGCAGGATCAGGAGCGTTTCCTAACGCATCATTTGTTTCGCAGTCATGAGACCCTTTTATACCCAATGATCATCGCCGCAATTTTTCGCTGGTAATCTGCATCCTTAAAACTTTGTGTACTGAAGTATAGGACATTGAATAGTGTTGATTCGTTGGAGCTTGGTATGCTCTCTCAACAATATCAGATTTAATGTCTTCTGCAGTTGCTTGTGTTAGGGCGTGTTCGCTAAATGCTCATGTGCTGTTGCATGTATCGCCCTTTTCGAACGCTTTCTTTTGGAGCTATGTTTGGGAAAAATAGCCAGTTTATTACCTTTGTGTATTATTGGAATCATATTTATTACTGCATTTATACAAAGGCATATTTCATAAGATCACATTGTCACTTCTTTTGATGAAATAGCGCATTTTGTTCATGAACTCAGCTTTTCAGTGGTGGTCAACATGTTTGCATCGTAGCCAAATTCGTACCAAGTTTTTAAAAAGTGATGCTTTGGAGGAATAAAATAAAATTACAAACACTGCATGGATATTTGAACAGCGTATTAAAATAAAAGTTCGTTCACGATGGCAAAGGTAGGTCTAACGTTAGGGATTTTTCTCTTTCTATTTCCTGGTTACAGCGATAAGTTTTCAATTTGAAGCAAAGCACCAGTATAACTAGAATATTACTGGCCCCACTTGTCTGGCTAAGATGCGGGAGTAACCGGGCATCTTTGGAATGATTTCTGTTATTCGTCTGACTGGTCGGCGACGATCATTGGGCACTTTGAAGTGCCAGAGTTGTAACTCCTCCTCAGTCTTTTCTCCATTCTTTGATATGCTGACTGATGTTAAACAGTGTAGCATCTTTACTATCAGAAATAGTATCAGAATTAGCCCCCCCCACCCCTAATAACCCTTAGAGCCAACATCAAATATTTCCAGTTCTGAAAATGGTGATAATTCTGGAAGAATGTGCAGTTTATAACTAAGGTTTCCCTTTAAAAAGTGCCTTTTGGGTACTTAATTATTTTTGCCCTTCAGCAGTGGGATTTATATGATCGCCGGGTGTCCGAGTATGCAAGAAAGTAATGAAAAAGCTTACTCGGGTGGAACCTGAACCCACGACGTCTTAACAGGCGTCTTATCCACTCAATCACCGAGCTTGCTGATCAGCTGGCTCGTTCGAGTCTTTTAAATTGTTGACACTGTAGTCACGGTCCCACTCTGAAAATGGGAGTAAACGATGATTTAAAAAATTACTTCGGTAGAGGGCAGAACCAAATGCTAAATTTGCCTTTCTGTGACGCAAAATTCCACCAACAGTAAGTGAAAACTGTCAAAATAGTCTTGACGGGAGTGTTTCATTGAAACTTTATCGTCTGTGATAAATCAATGTTTTTATTGTGTATCTGCTTTAGTACTCCTGTCCAACACCGCACCCTCTATACATTTCTAGGTATTTTTTAAGAACTTTATCTTTTAAAAAGTGCTTCAGTACCCTTTTCATTATTGTTTTTATTGGAGCAGAAGAACTCCCTGTAGTATAATACATTCCAGAAATGTATTCACTGACATTCGAGAAATTTGATATTTTGAACTTCAAACAAAGTTGTTCATGGTCTAAGGTTCCGGTCAAAGCCAAATTCCACGATATGAAAATGTCTCTTTGATCTTTCAGTGACTGCATTGTATTCATACTATTGCCAGATTCAAGGGGGCTAACGGGAGCCATACCCCCGGATAGGTTCTTTGGGGTAGTAATTACAAAAAGACGATTTGTTGAGAGAGTTTTTCATTTACCTTCCAGCCCAAAACATGTAAAAAGGCTTTTCTCAAAAGGTTATAAAAAGTCGTGTGAAGAAATTGCAATGTTTTTGTTCCCCCCTCCCCCAAAAAATCAACCCCCACAAAAGAATTGATTTAGGTTCCACCAAGGTGCACACAATCACAATAATTATGTTAGAAATAGTTTCAGTTGTCGCCCAGCGCCGAACAGGGTGCTGGGAAGGGCTGATGGCTTTGCATTGTGTTGGTTAAATTTTGCACGACCTGTGACCTCGAGGTTATCACAATGTTAGCGAAGCGTTATTTAAATTTTTGGTTCAAGTGCCAAAGCATATGAAGT